ATAAAAATTGAATGACAGCAGTTAAAAACAAAAGAGACAAGAAATTTTTCTAGGAAATAAATTAAGTATGAAATATACAAAGAAGTTACATAAAGCAAAAAATGCCAAGAATGTGCATAATACACATTCTTAAAACTAGTTTCACTTAACGCATCAAGAATCAACAACAATATCAGCTAAAAAAAAGAAATATCTTGAAACTTGCCAATAAAAGAAAGAAATAAGTTGCAAATAGAGTGATGCTGTATACGTATTTCCAATTCGACGATTAAGTAACAAAAACGGTTCAGTCTTCTGAGCCCAAACTTTTGCGCTTATTTGTGTTGTCATTTTAGCAAAATCACGACTCATATAATTTAATTCACGAGGTTGAAGTAAAAACCTGAAACACTAGTAATACTAATCATTTTAATAATAGAAAGATTGCAAAAAAGGCTTGCAGAAAAGCTCCCATCAGATAATAAAGAGAGTCGTTTGAAAATTTCCTTTTAATTCTCATTTATTTAAATCGATTTTATGGGATATTTTATGTGTTATGAAGAAGAAAGCTTTTTAAAACTATAAATAATTTAAAGGCATCAAATTTCATTACTTCAAAATATATTACTAGTAAACAAAATATAACACTAATAGATATATCAAAAAATCTTAAAAATCTAACGATGAAGGTCTGGCCCGTATGGTATCTGTCAAATGATTGCTTAATCCACGCTTGAAATCAGCAAACGCCAATACACCAAGGGCCTTTTGAACAAGACGAGTAAACGGACAATGAAAAAAGATAGCATCGAAATCCGAAATATTCACTACTGAAATTAAATATCATCCATCAGTCGAATTCTGATTTTTAATTTGAACTTAACACAGCACCATTTGTTCAGAATATTGAGAAAATGGAAGGTAGTAATTTCTTATATTCTCAGGCTCAAATACAAAAACACATACTGCAAATTTCAAAAATCTAAAACCTTCATCTTTTAATTTTTCAGCCTTTTGGCAGAATAACTTATAAACTTCATCTACAGCAGTGAGGTAAGCCTGTAAGCTGGCCTGTCCTTCGACAATAGGATATTCTGAGGATATAGGTTGATTTGGTTTGTAGAAATCGTAAACATCAACCATATACGTAGCACGAAGTCCTCTTTCAAATGACAATACTGCATTTGGACCAACTAAAGCTGCGAAGGCTCCAGCTCCTATAAAAAAAAAAGTCAAAGTTTAATAAAAAGATCAATCATGTAAGATAAGAAATAAATACTTCATCTAAAGTTAGTTACTTCATGACAGAGAACGACATTTCATCTCCAAACTAAAAAACTCTATTTTGATTTCTAAAATCGGTAATGTAAATCTTGTTTTTCCTTCTACCACCGTTTTTTCGTCCATCGATTGATTTCTCTACTTTAGCAATCAAATTCAAATAATCAAAACTGAAATCCTAAAATCGAAATGGTTATGCTTATGGTCATTTTAGTTTGTTTAATAATATTCTACAACAAAATACCTCCCGTACATCGTGCAGGTCCAGCATCATAAACTGCTATATCTGCCATAACGACAATTGCATACCGCCCTGAAATTAAACGAAATTTATAATAACATATCTTTTACTTGATAGGTAACATACGATGTCTATAAATTACTAACTTTCCGATTCCCAATTAGCATAAATCCAGTCAATTGCATGAAATAATGCTTGAGTGCCACCGTAACATGCATTTTTTACATCAACACCTTCGATATCAGAATTTTCTTCGAATAATTTCATCAGTGAAGTTTTGACACTCTTGCTTTTATCAGTTAACGTTTCCGTTCCAACACAAAGAAAACCAATATCTTTGGCAGAAAGCTGCAACATGCAGTTTGTGAATTTAATTATTCACAGTGTCGTCGGAATACATTATGTTATCTTAATAAAAGTCACTGTATAGTGCCAATTGAAACGTAAACTTATGATGTAAACTTCGACATATAATTGTAAAAAAATTCATTTCATATTTTTTTAAAGTAAGACATTGCAAAATCAAAAAAGACGGAACAAAAATCATACATTATAATTTTTTAGTAATTTCGATACAACTGTTAAACAAATAGACGTAATATCTTCGTGATCAGCACAGAAACTCATTTCATCTTGTCCAAGCCCAATGGTATACTTGCCTTTCTCAACACTGTCAAACTGAAAAAATTTCCAAAAAAAAAAAAAAATGCTTTTTTTTTTTGTTGTATGAAGCATATTATTTTAAAGAATCCTTTTAAATACTATCAAAATAGGTATATATGAAACAAATTAGAAACAGAAAGTGAAATAACACAAAACAGAAAGAGAATAAATGGAGAAAAGGAAATTGTACGATAAGATAATAAAGGAGAAAAAAGTTTTTGGAAAAACAATGGAAAAACAAATTCGATAAAAGTTAATCCTGAAATTATATCACAGAAAGGTAAAGGGCAATCATAAACAGATACTCTTAACATGAAACATACAAATATGAATGCTAACAAAAAAAAAAAAAAAATGAAGCTACCGTTTCAAGATCCTTCTGATTTACATATAGTTTTGGAATATACAATTCTATACCACGTATGCCAACTTGATCCGCTAACCATAATTCCCTTTTTGGCTTCATTTTAGAAGCTGAAAAAAAAAACATAATATGTTTGCAAAAAAAAAAAGAAATTTCACAATGAACATTTAATGATTACCTTTTCAAATATGATTTTGCTAATGGTGTTAATAAAAAGAAAACAAAAAAAAAAAAGGGTTAATAACAGCATAAGTTAACATATTACATAATTTATAATGATATACAGATAGCACAAAATAAAACGTCCTAAATTATTAATTAATTAAGATGCTTATTAATTAATTAATTAAGGTGCAATACTTGAAAAAATCTATAATAGCTAATTAATCCTAAATTCTTTAACTTAAGAAATATTAATTAAAAAGAAATAAAGACTAAAACTAACTTATCCTATCAAATAGATCATTACAATTCGAGAATATTCGTTCTATTCTACTTATTCGAGAGTACATTTTACTTAGTTACTTACTTACTTTATAGTTAATAGTAAGGGCTTTTACTTTACAGTTTAAACTGATTGATACTTCTAATCAGCGCTACTATAAAAACTATTTACCATTTTTACAATCTTGCAGAAGTAAATACTCTTTCGAAACTTTCAATGATATCTCTGTCGTCTCTTCACCCTTCTCCTTTCCTTCTTATATCACTGCTCATCTTTTACTCTCTCATTTCTCTTCGCTCCTTACGTAATCATCATAATGTCTCATAAATCTTAAGATCTTTTCTTCTTCTCAAAATACAATGATATTTTTCCTCCCTTCAAAATATTTTTTTCCTTGCAGAGTAACAATCAACAATTTTACTCTAAAACTCTTAAATGAATTACTTTAAGTGAGTCATTCCAAAAAAAAAGAAAAAAATTACTCCAAAAGAATTACTTTAAAAGAATTACTCTAAAAGAGTTACTTTAAAAGAATTTACCCTAAAAAAATTACTCTAAAAGAGTTACTTTAAAAGAATTACTCTAAAAGAGTTAAATTACAGTAGTAATTAGGATTTCTCATAATTTTTAATACAAAATTTGCCAAAGAGCTAAATGAAAAGAAATTTTATAAAAATATCATTTGACAAATATGAATGAAATCGAATTGAAATGTTAAAATTTTATGTTTTATTCTCGTCGCAATTTCATATTTGCAAATGAAAAATGTAATACATTTTTTTTTTTTTTGCAACACACTACATTTAGAGTTTAAAAGAAAAATTCAAATATTTCTTGTAAAGATTTTTAATTTCTTACAAATGGAAAAAAAAAATTTTGAACGATTGAAAAGAATTTGAAAAAAATTCAAATGTTTTTTTCTGCAAAGATTTTTTTTTTGTTCAAAAAAAAAAAAAATTTTTTTTTTAAATTATTTCCTGAACAAAATTTCTCATCTTTTTTTTTAGAAATTGTTTCTTTATAAAATAATTTAATTTATTCGATCTTATTTTTTCATTAAAATCAGAAAATTTCAAATATTGCTAAATTTTGTTATCACAATTTAAAAAAAAAGAAAAAAACTTCATGATAAAGAAACTTCAAATATATTTGCTTAGAATCATTCTAAAATTTATTGTTTTTATTAGAACAATACTGAAATTAAGAATTTTTTTTTTTATTTTTATTTATTATTTCTTTTTTTTTTTTGTTAATAATAAAGAATTAACAAAACGAAATGAATATAATTTTAATCATTTAACTTTGAAAAGAATATGATTAAAAAAGAATTTTGGTATTTTTATTTTTTACTTTTTATTTTTTTGTATACTAAGAAATTACTAGAAATTGTTGCAAAATGCACATCAATTTGAGTAATTAATTGAAATTTTTTTTTAAAAAAAATTTATTAAATTAATTATAATTTTGCTATATAATTTTTTTAAACTAATAATACAGCTTTAGTTTATTTCAATATTTCTTTTAATAATATTATTAGCTGAACTATTAGCATAATCATTTTAAATTAATGATAAATTTAATTAAAAAATTATTTTTGTATTAAATACATCTTTTGTACGGTTGCATTCATTCATAACATTTTATCAAACAAATAATTTTAACATTTAATATAAAATGCATCGACTTGGTAAATTTGTTGCTTTAAAATTTACTAATTTATGTTTTTTTTTTTGTCTTTTCATTTTTATTTTTCGATAATTTATTCAAATTTTTCAAAAAAAAATAAATTAAATTTTTATTAAATTTAGGTGTTATACTATTTTTGATAACAATTTTGCTAATTAATAAAAATGATAGTACAAGTTTGGATATTGCACTTGCATTTGCACGATATACAGGAGCACTATTCACATTTGAAGAGGCAAATTTCTTTTTTTAAATTTAAATTTTAATTTAAAAATTAATTTAATTTTATGATTAATGAATTTTTTTTTTTGATTTTGTTTGTAATTTAGGTAATTGAAGTGATGCCAAGTGTTAATGAACCATTGGATAATATTGCTGATGCATTAAGGCTTTCACCGCTTGCAATAGCTATGGCAAATGAATTTGCCTCTAATATTTCTAAAACATTAATGTAAATTTTAATCTTTTATAGAGTGATAAACTGTTAAGAACCAACTTAATTGATATGAATGATAAGAAAAAAATGATTTAGAAATATTTAGTTGATTGAATAAGAAAATTGATAAGTGATAAGATCAATATATCCTTCATAACAATGATTAAAAGAAGAAAAAAAATTGATAAGTGATCAATATATTCTTAATAACGGTAATTGAAAAAACAGAAAAATTGATAATTGATAAGAGTAATATATCCTTAATGACAAAAACTGAAAGAACAGAAAAATTGATAAGTGATAAGAGCAATATATCCTTAATAACAATGAATGGAAGAACAAAAAAAATTGATAAATGATAAGAGCAATATATCCTTAATAACAAAGATTAAAAGAACAAGAAAATTGATAAGTGATAAGATCAGTACATCCTTAATAACAAAGATTAAAAGAAAAAAAGTTGAAAAAGTTAAAAAAATCTAAGATAAAATAATTACAAAAGTAAAGTGCACAACAAATATTATCAATTGAAACTGTAAAGATAAAAAGACAAATATGAAATTTCTTTTTTTTTTTTTTTTCACTAATATTTTACACCATTTGACATTATAGAATAATTCATTTAAAGGCTTTTTTTTCTTAATGATATTTACAATTTAATTCAAATTTTGATAAATAATTTTTTCACATTGCAAATTTAATTATTTAAGTAAGTTTTTCTAGAAAGCAAAATTTAATTATTCAATTCAGCTTTCATTTTCTAAAATTTTATCGAATAAAAATTGACAATTTTATAACATTTTAATATTTAAGAATTTTTTTTTTAATACTAATTTTATTAACAAGAATTTAAACAGAATTTTGATATATTTATTAATACAATTTTAATACATTTTTTTTTTTTAAAAAATTTGATTTCAGGAAAATGGCATTTAATCTTGTCATATTCGGTTACCTTATTCCATCAGCAGTTATCATTTTAGTAACTATTATTACATGTTGGTATATTCGTGAAGAAATTCGTAATCTTTATCCAATGCTCGTACCGGTTTGTTAATAAATTTTTTTTCAAAAGTTAATCAAATAATAGATCAAATTATTTCCAGAATTTAAATTAATAAAATTAGAATAAATAAAATTAAATTAATGAAATAAGAAATAAAAATAAAACGCAAACAAACAAGAAAAAGGCTCTAATATGAAAAAAAAATTTTTTTTTATTTAAATATAAAAATTTTGATAAAATTTCAAAAATTTTAGTTCCCAATTGCAAAGAAAGCATGTGATGAGTTTCTTCAACAAATGGACAAAGAACTTATCAAAAAATTAAAAAAGAAACAGGAAGAGGAGATCGCAAAAGAAACTATGACTGTAACTGACACTCAAAATACTTGAAAAATGATATTGTCACCATTGTGTCACCAAAACATTTTAGCATATTTAAGTGATTATTTGTATGATTAGCATGAAAATATTTTAATTTTATCACTTCACATCTGATAATCTGATAATAGAAGTAGGATTAATGTCATAGCAATTGATTTGATTCCATTTAACTAATCTGTTTAAAAATTATAATTTAATTTTTACTAAATTAATTCTAGCAAATAAAACAAATATCATGTTTGTATGTTTGTTTTTTTTTCCTTTTGTTTACATTACTAAAATTTAATATGGTTTATTTGCATTTAATCCGGAAAACCGATTCCAGTATGCCAATATAAGATCGGAAAAGGCAATTATGGCGTTTTTTTTTTCCTTTGTTTTACAAAAAAAACGTATATAATTGAAAATATGTCATAAACTAATAGCATTATTCATCGAAAAATTAACAAAGTAAGAAATAAGGAATAAATTTTGAATAACTTTTATTAAGTAATAATAAAGTTAAAAAAAGTAATGAAGGGTACTGTAATAAGTATTACATATGATAATTAGAAGAATGTATATAAATATGTCATTAAAATTTTCAAGATAAAAAATGAAAAATGATATAATTTATTGTTAAACCTAAAATAGGATAATATTTCCGTAAGTTTATTTATTTTTTAATATTTTAATGATAGATTGAATTATATAAATGTATTTATTATTTTACTTATTTTAACTTTGTTTATTAGAAATCAATTATTTTACTCTGAGTAATGCTTAATCGTTATATAATTAAAATACATTTATAAATAATAAGATTAAACTTTCATAATTATTTACAAATTATTTTTTGCGTAAAATGAAAATTTATAGTTTTAAACCATAAACAATTTAAAATTTAACTATGGATAATTTTACTTTTGATTTTTTTTTTAAATGAACTGTAATTTAAGTTAAAAAGAAGAATCAAATTGCTCTTTTAGATTTTTTCAATAATAATTTTTCAATTCAGTATTTTCAATTGCAAAATTATTTAAGTTTATAATTGCAATTAATCATAATTTTAATAATATATGTTGACAAAAAATGATGTTAATTGTTAATTATTAGCAAAAAAATAAATAATTTTTGTAAAATTTTCTAAAAAGAAAAGGTAAAATAAAGTACTATTAGGACATATATTTTCCGTTTGTATCTTTCCGGAAAACCTGACTAACTTAATTCACCGATTTCGTTGAATTAATGCTAATGTAATAGAAATGAAGAGTTCATTTTTCATTTTTATAAAGAACATTTTTAAAATTGGCAATCTAAGAAAATAATTTTATTTTATTTTATTTATGAAATTTTTTTAAAATTATATCATTACATTCTCGAATAAATTAATCATTGTTTAATTGCATATTAACAAATGTAAAAAATTTAAATTAATAAACTCAAATTTATGAAAAAAATTTAATAGTTTTATTGTTATTGTATTTTTCATTTTACCTCTAATTAAATTTTATCTCTAAAAAATAATTCATTTTTTACCTCTAATTAAATAATTTGCAGTTTAATTTAAAAAACATATAATTTGGGCGATTAAAAATTTAATCCAATAACAAATCTTTTGTTAAAATTAAATGTTCAAATTGTAATGCTTACAAAAATTTATGTTTCAGTTAAAATTTTAATTTCAAAATATTTTGAAATTTCTCAGATTAGTTTAGTGCTACATTTTTTAAAAAGAAAAGAAAGAAAAACACAATAATATTTGAAAAATTTAAAAAAAAAAAATTCCATAGCATATATTTTCTCAAACTAATTATGAATAAAGTTTCATATTTTAAAAATTTTTTATCATTCATTTTGACATATTTGTGTTAAAATATGTTAGCTAAAGTAATACTTTAAATTTATGAAAGCAACTAAATGACAACTTTTTTCTGTTATTCTTTCATTTTTTTTAAAAAAAAAAAAGTTCAATTTTTAAAAAGTTTCTTACCATTGAGCATTTGTTGAATGTCGTCAAATTGCAGAACTTCCGATTCGATTTCAATTTTCTCTTTGTTCAAATTTTAAAATTTCAAATTGTAAATTAAAGATTCTTTCATCATCGCAACTTTACTATTTTTTTTTTTGTTCATTTTTTCATTCATCATATTAATTCATTTCAAATTTCTATCATTATTATTATTTCATTCTTTTCGTTTTAGAATGGAAAATTTGAAATTTTTATAAAACTTTTTTTTTTTGTTAAAAAAAAAAGTAAATAAGCAACAAAGATTTATAATATGTTAACATCCATTTATATTAATTTTTCAGCAAAATTTATCAAACGAATCATTTACAAATTGCTACATTGAAAAATTAAAAATAGAAATCGAAATTTAATTTTTAAATTAAAATTTGATTTTTTTATTAAGTGATAGTCTTAATGAAATTCTGTAAATTGTGCAAAAAATTAAAATTAGATTAATGCAATGCTTATTTGTTGAGTAAAATTAGCTATGATTTAGATTAGCTATTGAAAAAATTTTTGCGGAAGATTTGATAAAAATTCCATTTCCGAGCAAATATTATTGTACGATGATAGCAACAAAAAATTTACCAATTCAATTATTAAATATCAAACAAACAAACAAATAAATAAGCAAATAAACAAATAAGCAAACTAATGTATAGTGTTAATATATGATAGTCAAACAAATAAACAAATAAATAAGCAAACAAACAAATAAGCAAACTAATGTATAGTGTTAATATATGATAGCAACAAAAAAATTCACCAATTCAATTATTAAATATCAAACAAATAAACAAATAAATAAGCAAACAAACAAATAAGCAAACTAATGTATAGTGTTAATATACGATGATAATAACAAAAAAATTCACCAATTAAGTTATTAAATATCAAATAAGTAAACAAATAAACGAAAAATAAATAGATAAACAAATAAATCGATGCATAATAAAAAGAATTTCGATTGATGCTTCCGAATTGCTCCTTTCCTACATTTTAAAGTTAATTAAGTCCTTTATTAATTACAAAAAAATATAGAATATGTAAAAAAAAAAAATCCTTGCATTCTTGTTTTTTTTGACAATTTCAACAAATTGATTTGCCAAAGAAATCTTAAAAAGAAGAAGAAATGTAATTACGCAAAAATATGCAAAAACAAAATTAGTCCAAGTACTTTCATTTTTTTTTAAAGTTTAATTTTATAAACTTTTTAAGTTTAAAAAACCAAAAAAAAAGAATTTTCAAAAAAAAGATTCTTTTTTTGTTTAAAATGCCAAAATATATTTATGACAATCAAAAATTTGTATTACATTATGATAATTATCACTGTGAAGAAATTATCACTTTGATAACTCTAAAGCATTTATCATTTTTTGTATTTACTACAAATTATATTGGAAAGATATCATACATTCAATATCAATGATATCACAGTGAATTTGATAAGCTGATAAAAACATATTATCAGAAAATCTTATCAGATTGCATAAAAAAATACTTATATGATATCAAATATATTTTTTCTTTTTAAATTTTTTGCAAAATAAAAATTTTTTAAATTCTTTATAAAACAATTATAAAATTTTCTTTCAGTAATTAATAAATGAAGTAACTAATAAACATTTGAATTGAATAAATTATCATTTCATTTTATAAAAATAATAAATTTCAATTTGTAACTTTTTAGATAATCATTTATTTATTTGCATTAGCTGAATAAATTTTTATTAGCCAAATGAAAATAAAACTGAAAGAAAAGAACAAATAACTTATTTTTTCAAAAAAATCAAAATTCATATATAATTAATTAATAAAAAAAGAATTTTTAAAAAATTTTTATGGAAAAAAAAATGGAATAATAATTTTTATTAATCGAATATTTTTAAAAATTTTTTTTTTCTTAACATTAAAATTTTCTATTTACTTCCTTTATTTGCTTTTTCTATCATTTTTTATATTTTTTTTTTAAAGTAAAAAAATATATTTTTTTTTTCCTTCTTTTCCTCTCTATTTTATATACTTTTCTTCGTTTTTTTTTTTTTTTTTTTTAAAGTATAAAATGAAAATGGAAAAATACTTTGAATGCTTTCAATATTATTCAATAAATATATACATATGCTATATTTATATAAGCTTTATATATAAATAAATATTTAAAATTTCACATTTCCTTCCTGTGTACATTTACCTGCCTTATTTACCTGCCTTTTCTTCTTTTTTTTTTCCTTTTTTTCCAATTTATTTTTTTTATTTTTTAAAAAAATTTGATTTTTACATTAATTTTGTTTATATATTTGATGAAAAAGAAAAAAAAATTTACCCGAAATTATAAATTGTTAGAATAAATAAAATTTCTTTTAGTAATACTTAGAATTGACAACTGAAGGAAATAAAAAAAAAAGTGTCCCATTGTCCTATGCTTCAATAAGTTTAAACCAAATTTTCCTCTTTTCTTTTTTTTAAAAAAAAAGAATGACTAATGCTTACTTTTATAGCCATCTAACACCTTTCCTCTTTTTTTTCCTTCCACTACTTTTTCATTTTTTTTTTATTTTATTTTATTTTTTAAAAGTATGCTAACAATTTATACATTAATATTTAAATGTGTAAATTTAATTGAAATTAAAAAATTTTTAAATGTAATTAAAATTCAACTTTTTTTTCCTGTTTTTTCTGCT